CATGAAGAAGGTTCTCACGCCCCCCTTGACCAGTGTCGTCCAAGTTGCAGATGGTGCAACAGTCCCTGTCGTCGGTATGTGCACAGCTCAACTTACCGTAGCCGGTCATCAAGTGGTCGTCCTTTTTACCGTACTTGCAACATGTCCCCACGACCTCATACTAGGCCTCGATTTTCTTGCCGCCAATTCTGCTCTAATTGATTGCTCCGCTGGTGTCCTCCGCCTTGAACTGCCACAAATCAGTGCCGCCCCGTACCAACCAACATGCCGATTACAATGCAGCGACTTTGTTCGCCTGCCCTGCAAAACTGTCACGTACGTCAATTTTCTGTGCTCACCAGCTGTGCCCGATGGTGACTATTACGCTACGCCTCTCACCGACGTACTCCTTGCGCACAATGTTGCAGTGCCCTATACGGTGCTCAGCATCACAGATAACAAAACTTGTCTACCTCTTGTCAATTTCGGCTACATGAATCAGGTGCTTCCACAAGGCATTTCTGTGGCCCACCTGTGTCCGTTGCTCGATTCACAAATTGAAGTGCTTGCCTTAGACACACTTGTTTCACCGCAGCGCACATCACTCGCAACACATTCGGGCAGCCGTCAAATTGTAGACATGATCGCCACTGATCTTCCGCCTCCGCAAGTTGAAGCCCTACAACATCTTCTCGAGGCCTACCAGGATATTTTCGATTTTGGCGACCGACCTCTTGGGCAGACGTCCTTTGTCCAGCATCGCATACACACAGGTGATGCCAACCCTGTTCACCGCCGTCCCTACAGAGGGTCTGCTTTTGAGCGGAGCATAATTCAGAAGGAGGTGAACAAGATGCTAGCAAAGGACATTATTGAACCATCCTCCAGTCCCTGGGCATCCCCGGTGCTATTAGTTAAAAAGAAGGACGGATCGTGGCGATATTGTGTGGACTATCGCCACCTTAACAACATCACCAAGAAAGACGCATACCCTCTGCCCCGCATTGACGACGCCCTTGATTGCCTCCATGGTGCCGCCTACTTTTCTTCCATCGATCTTCTTTCTGGTTATTGGCAGATTGCCGTGGACCCCATGGACTGAGAGAAGACGGCTTTTGTAACACCCGATGGCCTCTACCAATTCAGTCATGCCTTTCGGCCTATGTAATGCCCCCGCCACCTTTGAACGAATGATGGACTCCCTGCTCCATGGATTCAAGTGGTCTACGTGTCTTTGTTACCTGGATGACGTGATTGTGTTTGCTCCCACTTTTGAAGCGCACCTTGAGAGACTGTCGAAAATTCTTGATGTATTCCGTCTCGCCGGCCTTCAGCTGAATTCATCCAAGTGCCGGTTTGGTCGCCGTCGCATTACAATACTTGGACATATTGTTGACGCTTACGGCGTACAGCCTGACCCAGAAAAAGTTCGAGCTGTGAAGGACTTTCCTGTGCCAAAAACCACCAAAGATGTCCGCAGCTTTGTGGGGCTCTGCTCCTATTTTCGGCAGTTCATCAAGAACTTCGCGGAAATCGCTCGGCCCCTAACAGATTTACTCAAACCAGATGAGACGTTTACTTGGGGTCCCTCGCAAGCAGCAGCATTTTCCGACTTGACCGCTTTGCTCACTTCTTCTCCTGTGCTGGCTCACTTCGACCCTACGGCACCGACAGAAGTGCGCACCGATGCCAGCGTTTACGGAATAGGCGCTGTGTTGGCTCAGCGACAACGTGGGCAGCATCGCGTGATAGCTTATGCCAGCAGGCTGCTGTCCACCTCGGAGCGTAATTATTCCATCACAGAGCGCGAATGCCTAGCGCTGGTGTGGGCAGTCGCGAAATTTCGCCCTTACTTATACGGCCGACCATTTATAGTTCTCACCGACCACCACGCTCTCTGCTGGCTCGCCTCCCTCAAAGATCCCACAGGTCGTCTTGCTTGCTGGGCACTCCGCCTTCAGGAGTATTCTTACACCGTAGTGTATAAATCAGGAAAACTGCACAAAGATGTGGATTGTGTGTCACGCTACCCTGTGGCCGACTGCGATCCTACGAGCACTGATTCTGTGGGCTGCGTCCTTTCCATCTCCCAGCTGCTTCATCTCGGGGACGAGCAGCGCCGCGATCCGGATATCAGCCGCTTAATACAACAGCTCGAATCTTCACCGCAAGACGCTTCTGTTCGCATGTTTACCTTAAAGGACCACACCTTATATCGGCGTAATTTATCGCCCAATGGTCACGACCTACTTCTGGTTATACCAAAGCACCTGCGTTCCACAGTCCTACGTGAGCTCCATGACGCGCCAACCGCCGGTCACCTTGGTGTCTCTCGCGCATATGACCGTGTCCGCCGCCGCTTCTACTGGCCTGGCCTTTCACGCTCTGTACGTCATTATGTCAACGCTTGTGAAATTTGCCATTGTCGCAAAAAGCCGACGGGACTCCCTTCCGGATATCTTCAGCCCATCGACATGCCATCGGAGCCATTATTCCGTGTTGGTTTGGACCTACTCGGTCCCTTCCCAACATCCGCCTCCGGAAACAAGTGGGTCGCGGTGGCTACGGATTACACAACCCGTTATGCAGTTACGCGAGCCATGCCCACAAGCTGCGCTACAGACGTCGCTGATTTTATACTACGCGATCTCATTTTAGTGCATGGAGCCCCTCGTCAACTGCTGACAGACCGAGGCCGTACGTTCCTATCGAAAGTGGTTGACGATATCCTGCGTTCCTGCTCTACTCAACATAAGCTCACGACATCGTACCACCCCCAGACAAACGGGCTTACAGAACGTTTAAACCGCACCCTGACAGACATGCTATCAAAATACGTCTCGGCCGACCATCGTGATTGGGACCTTGCACTACCCTATGTGACGTTCACATACAATTCCTCCCGGCATGACACTGCTGGGTACTCGCCATTTTACCTTCTGTTTGGACGCGAACCAACATTGCCGCTGGATACCTTCCTGCCAGCCGCTGCGCAGTATACTTCTGAATATGCACGCGATGCTATTACCCGAGCTGCCCACGCTCGTCAGCTTGCCCGCAGCAGATTAATGGCGTCCAAAGACTCACAGAAGCATCGTTACGACGAGCGGCATCGCGACGAACACTTTCCAACAGGTTCCCTCGTTCTTCTTTGGTCCCCTACGCGACATGCAGGCCTTTCAGAAAAACTTCTTTCTCGTTTCACGGGCCCATACCGTGTGCTTAGACGAGTGACCGACAACACATATGAAATTGTCAATGATAATCCATCAACCTCTTCCGCTCTGCTGTCAAGGGACATCGTCCACGTATCAAGGCTCAAGCGTTCCCACACTGCTCCTGCTGTGGCCCCGTAAACTCGCCGGGTCGGCGCTTTTGCCGCCGGGGGTCGTGTTACGGGATTTCGTCTGACTGAAAGAGGGCATAGTGGGGCATACCCAAGAAAAGGTGCCTCAGACTGATAGTAAAGAAGTGGACGTTGTTGGTTAGCTGCGTTGTGGCTGCAGACTGACAGCTGTTATTTTCCACGTAACAATATATATATATATATATATATATATATATATATATATATATATATATATATATATATATATATATATATATATATATATATATATATATGTTTATGCTCCTGATGAAAGAGCAGTTTGCCACACATGCTGAACAAATAAAGTTATGCTCCCTTCGCTATTGTGCCCACACTGCATTTTATATTACTCTGTTTTAGGCCTACAACTACCATATTTTTATTTATCAACCGAAGTTACACGATGAGTATGTTAGTAGGTATTTCTAAAGTTGTGATACGCTTTCAAGGTTGCCTGTGTGGCACCTTCGTCAATAAACAAATCTTTGAAGTGCGTTTAGCAGTTAGGGCATAGTAAACATATGTATCATTATATCGCACGCTCGCGCAGAAGGGAAGTACGGCGACTAAACCGAATATTTGACCGCGCGCGCGAATGAGTGAGTCAGTGAGTAAGTGAGTGAGTGAGTGAGTGAGTGAGTGAGTGAGTGTGTGTGTGTGTGTGTGTGTGTGTTGTGTGTGTGTGTGTGTTGTGTGTGTGTGTTGTGTGTGTGTGTTGTGTGTGTTGTGTGTGTGTGTGTTGTGTGTGTGTGTGTTGTGTGTGTGTGTGTTTAGATGTTAGCAGAAAGTGCGAAGGTTCAATAGAAATGTTATTCTCTGGCATGAGTATATCTCAGCACACGTACGAAGAGTCACACTGTATTATGCTTGAACGCGGCCTATCAGACCATGACACTCTGCCTGGCTTTTACCAATAAATGATTCCTCGCCTAGTGAAAAATATCGTAGTGATCGACTGCGGCGAGATCTGTTCTGACGAGTACAAGTATAAGACTATCACTGCAGCAATTATCACGCCGAACTTTCGCTGCCGAGATTCCTGCCCAAAGTCTCAGAGTGCCGAAACCTTGTCAAAAACCGCGACAAGTTTTTTTCGTCTGCAGACATTATGCACTGTAAAAACACTCGGGAATGATATTGTGATAGTACCACCACTTAGTTTTTAAATCATTTCAGCGTTAAGCGTCGAAAATCAGAGGTCAAACAGTAACGGGGGGTTGGGGGCGAGGAGTGGTGCGCGGAAAATATTAAGAAGGGGTTTGAATGCCCCCCACTCCCCCTTGGCTACGCCACTGCCTTCCTGCTTATCCAAGCGCGACAAAGGTCGTCGGTAGACCAGTATTTTTCTTTTTTTTTGTTGCACGACACCCCACGCACTAGCGGAAATATAGCGGCAACAGTTGTAGGCATGTTGGCAGAGGCCTAACATGAAGACAGCGCCACTTCAATTTTGTAATGTGGGGTATCTTCGATGCTAACATTAATGGTAGAATATTCGGTTTGCTAGTTGGCTAATAATAAAGTGTCCTATTTCGATATCAGATCACGGCCCCCTCGAATAGCCCAGCTGATCACACCTAACTGGTAGAACACGCGACACTTTCACAAGTTTTCTTTATCTTATATGTTAGCTGAGAAGTAAAACATGTACCTGTAGGCTGTAGTACGACATCACCGCAATCCAAAATCCAATCAGTGCGGCGAATAGTACCGACGCGCAGCTCAGTCCTGGGCCCAGGCCAACTCGAGTCGTAAGCATGTAGAGGGCAATTGGCAAGCTGAGCAGGCCCGACAGAGGCAAGAGAATGAGCTGGGCACTGAACGCTAGAATCGTACAATCAACGCCCATCACAGACACGATGTATCCGGAGGAAACCTTTGCGCGTGCCGCCGGAGAGTAGTTGAGCACCTGCGAGCAAAGAAAAACACTAGGGTGACGGGTACTGAGATGAGTTAGAAGTGCTACAGTGATCATATTCAGCGAGTGTTCATTCTCACAAAATGATTACAGAACAACAGATAGCTGCGCGTAAGTGGGCTTGTCGTACCTTTCAAGCACGAAATGAAATGCCGCCTTCATATGCGGGCCTACGCCTTTCCTAGGTCTCTTAGCTCGATTGTACAATGACGTTCCCAAGCTTCCAAGTCACCATATTAAAATAGCCCAGGTGTTATTTTTTCACTTGAGCCCCACCTTTAGACACATTCAACAACAAAAAAGAAATAAGTCGTTCCACTAGCTCCGTTCGCATTTCACAACCACCGCCAATGGAGGCTTCACGTCACACCGGTGGGAAATGGTCTGCAATTTTCGGTCTCTGACAGCGCTAAAGCTTGATTGCTATCAATTTTCATGACACAATTCTCAATTGTGCAGCTGCTCAAGTCGGCTGTAAAATTGATGCTGTGCTTAGACAATGCAGTATGTGTTACAAAGCTTGGGTGAACCCCAACATCAAGACAGCTGGTGTGAGCATTAGACATGTAGCAACATCAAATTTTGAAGGCAAGATAACCCATGGATTAAATTTCTGTGGGAACACCCACATCTCTTACAAAATATCATGAGGTAATGCAGCCTATAGCATATTTAAAATCAGCCTTTCACCGCATCATGCCATGCACAAGAACTACAGCAGCTCAACGTGGTTTTCAGTAAGCAACTGACTGCTACCTGTCCTACCAGTTTGTTAGCTGCTGCGATCCTTACTAGATCTCTGAAGCAGCTGATTTTTTTATATAAAAGGGGCAGACTTGAACGCAAGTGAAAACACTGGCGTCATTTGCTCAGTCGCGGACTTACTAGGTGTCACGCATACTTAAAACGCCTACAATAATATTATAGCAGCACATAAAAAGCTTTCGCTGCTTATATATATATGTAGTTCTATTTATTACTCATTTATTTATTTATTCCAAGATATTTCTGGCCTCTTATCTGAGGATGTTGCACGATGTGAATACAATGCGTACTCAAAAGAACACAAGTCCAGTAAGCGCGTACGTGCGAAGGGTTGGAAAAGTCATTCCGTATGTTTCCTGCATTATTTTACAAGGGCTACTAAATTGTAACAGTAAGAAACAGCGTATCAGAAGGTAACATACATAGTCAAAATAACACAGTTTATAGGGAGACTGAAGGAAGTTTAGAATTCAATAAAACGTTCTGTCTATCAAGAACCGACATTATTGTTGACAATGTTGTAATTTTTTTCGTGGTTTAGAACAGCTTTAGAACAGGTGAAATAACAGCTCGCATTGCTCCACCCCCGCGTGCGCGCTGACAGTGTTGGCGTGGAAACATACGTCATCTTCGTTTCCTCTGTCCTGGAGTAAGTGTTCTTTCTTATATTCAACCATGGCCTCCGTGACTAACTTATGACGTGCCGTTACCGAAACTAATTGAACAGGTCACAATTCAGCAGTGCTGCTGTTGGAGATGACGGGGCATGACGAGAATGACGTCACCGTGTTCACTCAGCATCTCAAGAAGCCCGGCAGCCACAGCCCCTGTTTTTTCACCAAACGTGCTATTGACGTTCACGTTCGAGAACTCTCACATCGCTTTTTTAATTCAGCAGGGATGAAACTCTCCTTACATGATCCTAAGTCATTTTTTAGAAAACTGCTTCAGCTTTCCTTTAAGTAGGCACGCGATAAGTTGAGTTCGACTAGACAGTACATGTGCACTCGACAAGTACAAACGCTAAAAGAATGACGAAAACAACATGCTGAAAAATTTAGCTCACGAAAAACAGCACTCGAAGAAAAGGAGAGTAAATTTGACACTTAGCAACAATGTAAAGCATGGCAATTATCAAATAAATCATCAGGAACGTAAAAACCCGCCAGTAACAAATACCAAGAAGTGGAAACACTTTATCATTACACAGTCCAACCAGCTTGCAAGCAGACAATCACTGTAAAGTATCGCTTGATATCTTGGCGATAAAAGCTTCTAATAATGTGCAATTGATAACATCGTTCGATAAGCCATTCCGCTCTCGGATTACATGCGGGATAAAGATGATTGATTTGATTGACTGATTTGTGGGGTTTAACGTCCCAGAACCACCTGATGATTATGAGAGACGCCGTAGCGAAGGGCTCCAGAAATTTTGACCACCTGGGGTTCTGTAACGTGCACCCAAATCTGAGCAGATGGGCCTACAACATTTCCGCCTCCATCAAAAATGCAGCCGCCGCAGTCGGGATTTCAACCCGCGACCTGCGGGTCAGCAGCCGAGTACCTTAGCCAATAGACCACCGCGGCGGGGCACCGGATAAAGAGTACTTGACAATGTAATTGTAGCATCTGTATTCAGCTAAGGGCTTGTGTTCAATTCAGGAACTGGTTCTATCGGAGTGTGGTGACAAGTTCTTCGCACTGATTTTCGCGCCATTGCGAAAAATGTAAATAAACTTGAGGAGAAGCAGTCTTGCTCTACCTTGTGCAGCTGGTAATTAGGCTTTTCTTAATATAATTCTGTAGGAGAATGGCGTCTTGTGCAATGCCAAACAGCAATTCGCCGTAATCCGACTTGTGGTATTTGCAGTAAAGGTACTGGCGTGGTCTTGCAAGTTAGCTTTTTATCCACATAATTATGCTGTTATCGACGACGTAATGGGTATATAACTGTGCAGCGCTTTATGACGTGAAGCCAAAGTTGGGCTAGTCGCTGGTTCATGCTTTGGATGTATAAACAGCGCAAAAATATCGACAAAGACTGAAGATGACTGCCTATATTTTTGCGGTGTTTTTACCATTTACAAGCGCGGGCTCTTAAAGTAGTGGGTCATTTACGGTAACGCTGCATGGCCTCCCTCATGCGCCCTATCACGAAATCCTTTTCGTGGATATGCCGTAAATTTTTTAGCTTTTTTAATCTTGCAATGCGCCGGCTTTTCACTCTGATCACGCGCCCACACATGGGCAAGTCGTGGTATCCCGTGGCAGTCCCCGTAACGATGAATCACACTGTGCTGAAATCAGCCAATTACTGATCCTTCGCCTTTGACGCAAAGATGTGAGTCGGGAACGTCATTCGTTGAGAGGATAAAAAAAATTGGCAGCATGTCGACGAAGCGAATGATGGAGAGTGGGGCGAAGCATTCGTCCGTCCATGCGTCCGTCTGCATGACCACCCATGCGTCTGTTCGTGCGCCCGTCCCTGCGTTCGTTCATGCATCCGCCCCTGCGTCCGTTCATGCGTCAATCCATGCATCTGTCTGTGTGTCTGTTCGTCCATCTATTCAACACTGCAAGTCCCGCCATCTCACATCTTTTCATCATATATTCCCCATATAGAAGCACCGCCATTCAGTGGACATTCCAAGGACTAAACGAGACGTGGCACACGCACACTTTCTTACGGCTTGCGCTTCGGGTCTACTTCCCACCTTCAACCACCTTGAGTTCATGGTATATACTAGTTCACTGTATTCATGGCACTGCGGCCCAATGCTCGCTAAACCTTTCTAAAACCAAGAAGGTTACGCCCAGCGAGTATAACGTAGCAACCTTTTCTTGTCAGATAGCGCTCAATGTACATGCGAGTGGCTGCTAATGTGAAGTGAGAGACAGGAGGATTCAGCTTTTAATTTCTTACGGCTTGCGCTTCGTATCTGCTTCCCCCCTTTAACCATTTCGAATTCATTCATGGTATATACTAGATCATTGTAGTCATGACCCTGTGGCTCAACGCTCGCTAAACCTTTCTAAAACTAAGGAGGTTACACCCAGCGAGTATAATGTAGCAACCCTTTCTTGTCCGATAGTGCTCAATGTACATGTCAATGGCTGCTAATGGGGATCGCAGCGTGCGCGTTGACTAAAATCCGAATGCTCCTGTCTCTCATTCCCCATTAGCAACCATTGGCATGTACATTGAGCACTATTTTTTATTAATAAACAACGCACAGAAGAAATCTCTCACCGGCACCACCTTGGAGGTCAAATGTTATACCTATTTCGGGTATGTGCCACTGGTAGTTACGTACTACGAGGGACGCACAAGCCACGCCATAAGGAGCTTCGCCCCTAAAAGCGGCTTTTAACTGACTTTCATAATTTGTTGCGAGTTCCAAGCCGTGTGCTTCTGTACCGTACTTTACTCGCGTGTTCTCGGCAGCCTCGGCAAACGAACAGCAGCGCTTTCTGAGCATGCTCAAAAAGTGTACCAGGGCACCTTCAGAAAAAAGCGTAAGCAGCAGCGTCATGGTGATGCCTCCCGATTGGTAGCCGCATCGCGGTCCGAACAGAGACACGCCATCTCGAAACACCTCGCCTCATAGAGAGCGAGTGTGACAGATACCATAGTGATTAAGAGGCATGCGAGCTGCCGGCTCTAGAATTGGGAGCTATGGCACAGAAAATTCTCATGTTACTTTCTTCGCACGAATGTGCTTAAAGGGTACTCTCCTTCAAGTGCGGAAAGGAGGCGCAATGAAAAGCCGATGGGGGAAAGTAGAAAGGGCTGTTAGATAAGGTGGCAAACGTCTGGATCTGGCTGGTACTGAAAACATAGAGTACGTGCCTTCTGACCTAGTGTGGTGCTGTCATTGCACCATACTGTGCTGCAACGTTGTGACATAGTAATGGCGTTGTTATGTCGTAACAAATTTCAGCCATCTGTTACATTGCGATGGCATCATAGGTGGACGTCCTCATCTACTAATTAATGATGCATCATCTGTGCAAGCTACATCATTTCGGGAAAACTGGTGCCATTCCAACCCTTCAAACAAGGCATGTTTATGAGTGCGGAAAAATTGGAGTTTTAATAAAACCACGCTCACATTATGCTTTTTTAACCCTTGAAGAAAAGTTGAGACACTCTTGACTTGCGTTAAAGCGTCTATAACATCTCAAATCGTAGTAGTACACAATGCCTTCAAACGTTCCTGTGTTTAACTCGCAATTATTACGGCTATACTGGAAAACGTCGAACTTCTGCAGAACAACTGTTATACAAAATTTAACCGTTTCACTTTACCCTTCGTAGAATTGCGCCTTGAGTCAGCACCTGTACTTTCTCTGTAAACCGCAGTGCATTGTGGTTCATGTAGCACGTGAGAGCTGCATCTGCAAGGCAAGAGATCGCGAAGAGGAGCACCATGGACATCATGCTCGACGTTCCCGCAATCAGAGACCTGCAGCAGGTGAATGATATTTGTAGCCTTATTTCGCAACCAGTGTGGCGTACGAAGCATTAGCACAGAAAACTCGCAGTACTTACTCCAGTACCAGGGCCCTTCCGATGACAACAAGGTAGTAGGCGAAGCCAGAGCAAAGAATCCACACCAAATCACGCCACGTAACACGAAGTAGTCCCAACATGAAACGCCGCTTGCTTCCGGGGACCTCACTGCGTTTAGTAGAAAAAATTACATACAATGCACAGTAAACACGGTGCAGCGATTGTATCCCCGGTAAAGTGGATATACTTCGAAGATCATAGAAACCACTACTGCAACTGTTCATATGAAATGCGTCTCCAACAAGGCTAAGAGATCTTGGCAGCTGTGCCGCGCATACTCTTGCTTAATCATACCATCCTCTGGCGTAAGCACCAACGACAAATAATCGCGACCGAAGTCTTCAGCACTGATAGAATTCCTAAAGAAATATTTACTTCATCTTTATTTAGCAACGCACTGATGGATCAGTACTAAGAAGAAAAGTATGTGCACAACATGGTTTACTTCAATCCCACCCCGTTCAGCTCACGCTGAGTCTCCTAGCAGCGTAACGGCTCAATGTTGCAGCATGCCGCTCTTCTTATGGCTCTTTCTATTCACCCTGTCACTCTTTCAATGCGCAATTACTATTGGTAAGCAACGCTGTTGAGGTTAAAATTCGTAGTTCGTCGTTGGTAAAGAACTATCACCATCATGAAACGATTGCTCCCAATCAATGCCTTAGCCCTCCGTACAGATGAGTAACAGAACAACATTGAACGCACGACCTCTAATAGGAGTTGCCCCTCGTTAGTCCTTGCTTCCATTTAATTCTATATTGAACCGGTTAGCTGAGCAGTGGGACTTGCCCAGCTTCTGTGGCACACAGGTGCCATGAGGGAGTCTACAAGGGTACGAAGTTGGGTTCGTCGTAAACTGGCTTGTAGCATAGCGCAGAACACACAATTACAACGAATTACTGGACGTATGCGAGTGCTTGTGTTTCTGCTTTATGCTACAAGTCAGAGGCCAAGATATAGAGCAAGCATAGCCATGTGCACTGTGGTGGAATAAGGAGTGAAGAAGAGAAAGGCAACAGAGTAAAAAGATTAGCCGAGCAACGACCGGCTAGGAGCCCACCAGCTCTGCTGCCCTAACCCAATCTTACATCAATTGCGCAAGCTGCGCTAATTTTGTTATCATTAGTGTTAATCTTTGTTTATTCTCGTTTTTCTTTTTTGTGTGTTTATCTTGTACTATACTGTCATGATGTTGGAATAGCCGGCTGTAACGTAGCCTACCTTCCCATATTTTGCCAAATAAAGACAAAAAATGTATTAATAAATTTATTAATATTATTATAGGTGTTGTTGTTGTTGTTGTTGTCGTCGTAGTCATCGTCGTTAGTAGTAATAGTAGTAGCAGAAGTGGTAGTACTAGTAGAGGCAGTAGTAGTAGTAAATGTAGTAGTAGTAGTAGTAGTAGTAGTAGTAGTAGTAGTAGTAGTAGTAGTAGTAGTAGTTGTAGTAGTAGTAGCCTTGGTATATAATTCCTTTGAAGATCGGCTGCTGGGTGAGTTCGTAATATATTGCTACGAAGAACTGCGTCAATCTGCCATCGCGAACATGTGCATGCATAAGTACTGCGTGAGTTGTAATTCGTAAGTGTTTTGGCACCATTACATTCCAAGAAAGGTTTACTTCCCGTGTACACGGCAGAAAACTGGGAGCCAAAGGCAAACTGATATAAGTCCTATATATAATTATTTCCGTACCCATAGAGACGCTCATTTACGCTTCAGAATTCGACCAACGGCAAAAAGAGGGGAAACGCACCGGTCGAACTCTGCCCTCTTAAGGGTTAATGCAGCGCGCGCCTACCATATATCAGGTACCCCAACACCAAGTCATATACCATTGACTCGCAGGCTACTTTTTGGAGCATAGGTCATAAGTAAAACAGTGCAAATGAAAAAATAGACGCTATAGATAGGGAACCGAATATTGACTTCAACTAAATGTTTATTGGTGTGGAAGCCCTGCATGCCCCATGAAACGGGAATTATGTCCGTTTACAACGACCATTTCGTGGTGTCGTGGGCGAACATTGCAAGAAATCATCACGAAATGACGTCCCCGATGATTTTAACACGATGTCGGAAATTCTGGCATGACGTTAGGTAACGTAAAGCTACATAATTCTGAGTGTGTGGAAGTTTGGGTTTATCTGGGATCATTATGTGCATTTTGGAGGTTGCCGCTAACGCGCGAGATTATAGAAGGGGGAAGATACACAGTTGAAGTGACAGCTACGTAAGCACTCCTTTTCTGTCACTGTCACGGCGTGAGCGTAACTACATCACCGGGCTGTTGGACACGAGTGGTGAAGACGAGTGGTGATTTGGATTTCAATGTATTGATTCGGCTTGTCATCATTCTATAAGTACAGATATACCTTGTGACTTCCCGAATAAATCCGTTGAAAGTCAGCACTCTTTTCTATTCTGTCCCATAACCCCCTTTTGTTCAGGCGCATTTACGTTCACCATCATGAGAGTTAATAAAACGTTTATTCGAAGTTCTTGGCGAACAGATGGGTGAATAGGATGTCTTGGGCGAGTTCGTTTACTCTCGTGGTAAACTTAGTGCATATTCCAAGACGAAAGAACAAGCACAATCCTTCTCCTAATCTTGGTATTTTCACTGGGTTCACCGTAAAACAGAACAGTGAGTAGGATTTTTAGTCCGCGATGCCTATGGCGCGGGCCGCTGTCCTTGCACGCTTCACGAGGGTCACTTGGGTCTTCGGATTCGAGCTGGACAGATCTGCCTCCCACTGTTTAGTGTTTTGTTGTGTCCTGGAAAATGAGGATAAACTTCATTTTGAAAATATGCGCGCCTCGGTATTGCGGAACTCACTACTATAGGCGTCAGCCAGGAGCTCTCGTGTTCTGGCAGCGTCCTCGGCTCATTGAATTGCCCAGACCTGTTCCTGTGTATCTGAGGTTGGAATAGTGGATTAAGTGGACGCTCACATACCTTGTATGGGTGGCTGTTTCATCGGCGCGGAACTTGCACCGGGGTGCTTGTGTGTCGGAATCTTAGACAGCATGTATAAATTGGGGCAGGACACAGTCTGCAGGTAACGCCAAATTACATGCGATTCCTTACTAGAAACGTAATTCTGTTCTAGCGTCCTACTTTGGGTGGGGAAGAAGACCAGGAGATGGCGAAATGAGAAAACAATAAACTAAAAATGGCGCTTGGCATGTGCAGCCACGGTACTCGTGTTTCCATAAAAAGAAGGCGAGCCGTCTTAAGCCAGCACGCGAGGTACCCGTTGAGTTTTCTCGGGTGAGATTGCTTATTTACTGGAAATCGTGAATATCAGATAAGATATCCACCGAACAACACAGGACAAAATAACTGGGAAAAAACAGATGTGTCCGCCACTGCGTCCTGCCCTGCAAGGTTCTTTTTCTGTCAAAAGACGGAGGAACGCTTACGCATCCGGGCCCATTTCGCGAGCATCAACTGACACTCTGCCCTGTTTGTTCCGTCTGCATCGTTTCGTTTCAGCTCGTTCACTTGCAAAGGAACTCCTCTTTATTTTGCAGGTATGACACTTACGTAGAAGTATGCTGCTCAAAGCACTGACGTTTTTACTTATTTTTTGTAGTTCAGCTACTCCCCTATTCACATATAAATGCTAAGTGGCATCGCACCTCGAACCATTTAACCAGCCACAGCCTGACGTGAGATCGAAAACAAGGGAAATCAGAAAGAGAGAAAATTGTTTTAATAGAGAGCTGAATTGCTTTGCCTGGTTTTCCACCTGACAGGCTACTTCAGGAGCAGGGTTATGAGTATTATATAATCGTTATGGGAGCACTGACACTCTTCTGTAAAGTTGTTTGAGATGCGTGGCACTCGCGTCCCTGCCCAAAAGCCTGCACTTCGGGTTACAACAACCGGGTGGTAGGTGACGTGTACGCGAGCGGTTCGGGCTGTCACGGTGGATGGACGTGTTTTTTGAGCGCTCCCGATCGACTACGCAGACAAGTGGTTTTGCATGTTTTGAGCTTGTCTTTATAAATATTAAGAGAGCAGTTAAAATCATTGTAGCACTTATTTTATTCTACGGTTTTTCGGGGGTCAGCCACCAGGTATTTATTAGTTTGTGCGTGTGTGTGTGTATGTGTGTTTTATTTTTTGTTCTTGTTTTTTTTTCTTTTGCCACACCGTGGGGGAGGTGCACGTACATTGACCACGAAAAGCTTTGTAGTAGAGCTTAGACTTTCTCTTTTTACTAGGGCAGGGCTCGAGTTTTCGAATTATCGAGTGAGACAAGTCATAGGGACAATCAGGTGTCAGAAAGACATGGTTAAAAAGACTGTAGAGTGTTCAGGATGCGGGGTGGGTTTGAAAGTGGACCCAAGTGTAGTAGCGGATGGAGGAGTGGCTGACGCGAAGTGTAGGCAATGTGACGTGGAGGAAAATTGAGTGAACTGCTGATGAGAATCACCGAGCTCGAGACTGCGTTGGCGACAGAGAAGGAGAGACGAGGGCAATGGGAGAAAGGCTGATGTCCGCCAAGGAAGCATAGCGAAGGTGAACAGAGCAGCGGCCTACGGAGAGAACAGTATGAAACAGGCAACCAGAACGCCGGTGGAGAAAGAACAAGCAAGTTTGGAAAAAAAACAGGTTTAGCCGGTTCAATTGTCGCAAGGCCCAGCTTGAAAAAAGTAGTGGTGGGCATGGGAGGGGACAAAGCAGCCGGCGTCACAGGTGCAAGTAACCCCCAGGTACAGGACGCTACAGCTGAAAAGTCACAGCATGTGATAATCACCGGAGACTCGAATTTATATCGATGCACAGAAGCAATAAAGAGAGGGTAAGAGGTGGCAAGAAGGTTGCAGTAGGGGTGTTCCCGGGATGCAAGCTGGAAGCAGTCATGAGGCAACCGAGTGCAAAACTCAAACCTACAGCTGATAGACGAAACCTCGTGATAATTCCAGGTGGTTTAAATAATGTCCTAAATGAAGATACAGGAGGACTAGCAACCACACTGGCGAAAGGCATCGATGACATCTGCGCCACTTCTCCTCAGGTACAGGTACTGCTATGCATGATACCGGAGGTACCGGTGCGTGACAGAAACCTGCAAAGAGTGGTTGTCAACGCAAACC